ATAATCTCAAATTATACTGCTAACTGATCTTGCAACAGTGATCACTGTTTTTCACAACTCGACACCTGGTGTTTTGTAACCCATTTTTTTACTTTCAACTTTTTGTATTATTTCCGATCATATAACGTTTTTCAAAATGTATTCACGGTTGGAAACATCAAGAGGCAACCGTTTCAAAAATGTACATAAAATATACAGCATACAAAAAAGCTAATGTCGTATTAAACCTTGTTAATCATGAATTCTGAGCGATATTAGTAAAAGATTTTATCAGTAAAGCATATTTGATATTGAATCCTGAGTTTGAAATTTGTATTTCCATCCTCAGAGTCCGAGGCGGTCTCAGACGTCCACCATACTGGACGTTTTAGCCAAGGCGTACTTGCCCACGATAGAGAGTTTCCACAACCACAGTGCACCGCCCACCAAAGTACATTTATTAAACTCGTTGACAAAGCTATCCGAACGGGAACTAGTCCATCTGATCAACTGGGCCAAGAATGTTCCAGGTAAATTCTTGTTTGTGCTACCTAACCAGATATACATGGCATTTGTGTACGAATTTTAGTGTTTTACCTCACACAATTATTATTGAAGTATAAACGCCCATTTTTCCATGCAGTATAAATTAATTTGATAAATTACATCTCTAAAGATGAACCAATTAAGTTAAGGAACTGATGCTCATGTGTTGTGTAAGTGCAGTCCCGCATGGGTTTTGGAAAATTCCAGCTTCAATCCGTGTAAGAGTTAAATTTGCAGCATTTGCTTTTCATGATCTTATCCCTTGTTACCTGGTTATTACGGTACCTTCATATTATTTAAAACCTACTGCTGTTTGATTACCGTGCTATGTAGTAGCCGTGTAGTTTTCTGCAAAGACATATAACATGCTGTAAAGACATAAAAACATGATTTCTTCCGGAAAGACATAAGTTTTCCGTAAAGACATAAGTTTTCTGTAAAGACAGAAGTTTTCTGTAAAGACAAAAGTTTTCCGTAAATACAGAAGTTTTCTGTAAAGACAGATATTTTCCGTAAAGACAGAAGTTTTCTGTAAAGACAGATATTTTCCGTATAGACATAATTTCTTCCGTAAAGACATAAGTTTTCTGTAAAGACATAATTTCTTCCGTAAAGGCAAAAAAATCTGTAAAGACAAAAGTTTTCCGAGAAGACATATTTTAGATTATCGACACAATATTGACTGAAAAATGGTTTTCCTGGCTAGAAACCAGTTTTATCCCTGTTTCATCCCAATTTTACTTTATTCTACTGAACGAATCATGCTAAAAATCTATTATAGAGTTTAATTATTTTTATTTTTAAGCATATGCGCTTGGATGTATACAACATGGAATGATTTTAGGTGTTAAAGGGTTAAAACACGAATCAATCTCAAAAAGCTAGTCTAAAACATTATGTCAATTGTATTCAGTCTTCATTTATTGAAGTTAAATTATTTATTCATGTTTAAAGTTTAGTAAACAAAAGACTGACAAAAGTGTGATCTGGAAGTTTATTTTGTTATTCATACACGAGCTATGAAACGGAGGTCACGCGATTGTTTTCAAATATATGAAGGGTGAAAGCTGCTAGTTTTGAAGTCCGTCGTTATACCTTTTTTCTTCCATATTTACGACATTCACATTTAGTCTTTTTAAATATATTAACACACCTAAATTAACTTTATTCATGGTAAATAATCAAAAAATAAACAAATGAAACCATAAGGATAATTGACAGACTTTCGAGAATTCTTTTGTTACATGTTAGCGGTTAAAACAAAAAAGGGAAAATATGCACAAAGCCGATACCGACCATTAGAATGATCAATTTCCCATCACTTCGGTATGAATTAAACATTTCTTATCCGACTGGTGTCAAGTCAAATACACGTTTCACTGCGAGCATCACTCGAGTCCAGACACTATTGTCCGAGCAAACGGCCTTTGATCTATCGGTCATTTATAAGGGGATTACTCCGGCAGAGAGTCATAAAAGAGGTTATTTTATCCAATAGTCGTGGATGGCTTTCTGTACGACTGACCGGTGACGGAGCCGCTCCGCCATTGTCAGCGCTGGACATTATACCGTATTGTAAACGTAAAATTGGCTTTACTCTGTCCTCAGGCTACACAGACTTGTCCCTTAGTGACCAGGTCCACCTCATCGAATGTTGCTGGATGGAACTTCTACTGTTGAATTGCGCATATAGGTCAATGGACCATGGCGGAAAACGACTGGCTTTCGCATCAGACCTTATACTAGAAAGGTAACCATACTTTATCACCATACATCTCAGCGTTGTAAAACGTTTGCAATAAGGCGTCTGTTGTTGAAAGCATGACAAGCTTTACATCAATAAGTGTTTTTCGTCTAAGACATTTATGTTCAAATGCTAAATTCATATGAATGTTCTGAACAAGATTAGCAAGCATTTTTTTTTAAAGAATTGATTTTGCAGCTTATCAGTCAACAAAACTGGAAATAAGACAATATATTACTTTATAATAGATCCATGTTTGTTAAAAAAAACATAAATTTACGTTACAAATATCTACATGATATAAGAAAATAACACTCGAACAAAACATGTGTTGTCATTTAAAAGTGTTATGGAACAGACAGATGATATATCATCGAAGAGAGCGAATTTTATTAAAAAAAAATTCCATGCAATGATGCAGATGTTTTTCTTTACATAGGCCTCACTGGGAAACCGTTGGTATGTCCGAAATATTTGAACAAGTTGCGGCGGTGTCTGAACAAATGGTTCAGTGCCATCTCCACAAGGATGAACTTCTCTTGCTACAAGCCACAGTTCTCGTTAACGCTGGTAAGATACTAATGCTTTTCTTTATTTAAGTTTATCTAATTTAATTTAAAAACTTATACTGAATGAACGGCATTTTTTTAACTTTTCATACCGGCTTGAACTTTGAAACATGCTGTTTTATACATATATTAGCATTCTAAATTTGATAGTTATTATTGATCTAAATATAGGTATTCCCTTATTCAATATTAAAATATATGTGTCGTCAATGCAAACTAGATTCATGGAACAGCTCAACGTCACCAAAATGTTTGCTTGTGTTACTCCAGACAGGACGAGAAGCTACAAATGACGCCGATCAAATTGCGTTCATACCCCTATGAACGCAATTTCTTCTGGCAATGTTTATAGGGAAACTTGTAGTGTAAAGGAAAATATATATTTAAATGAAAAGGCGAAATTCTTCGTAAACTGAATTTATTTTTGAAGTAAATAACTATATATGAGAAAATGTAGAATTGAAAAGTCACTATGTTTATAATATATTCCGTCTTTGCGTATTGCAGA